TGTTGCAATATTAGAAATGTGAAGTGAAACTTAAGAAGCAATAGACTTCAGAATTGCTCAGGTAGACGACGTCCACAACTAGTGTTGCACCGATACCGATACCACCATTTTAGGGCAGTATCGGGGCCCCGTCCGATACTGGTATCGGTATCGGTGCAACACTAGTTGTGGACGTCGTCTACCTGAGCAATTCTGAAGTCTATTGCTTCTTAAGTTTCACTTCACATTTCTAACATTGCAACACATATTTAGGAAGTTGTTTGCAGGGTACACCAGGTAGTTGTGTCTAATTTAGATCAGGAGATCTAGGTACAATTGTTCTGGTCCACGTCCTAGTAAAATTATCACTAAGCTCACATCTATACAAATGAACCACATCAATGAGGAAACTGACCAGACGCCATTAAAAAAAAAAAAAAAAAAAAACAGTTAAACATTGATGGTGTTAAAATGGCATACTGTATGTTTTACCTGAAACCGTCATCTTTAAGTTATAATTAAGAATAAATACTTTATACATTTAATGCTGACTTTGTTAAAAACAATTGGAATAAAGACTTGTGTTTTGTCTTTTTAGGGAGTATTTCCCAGACTTTTTGGGAATCATCTCTCCCATATATGACAACAGTGAGATATGACTGTCTCCCACATGCAGAAAGACCTAATGCCAGGAGTGGAACCCGGGAACTTCTTTCTGCAAGGCAAACTGCATTACTGTAGTTCCAACACAGAAAAAGATTCTTAGTGATGATTTTTTTTTTACTACTGCTACCAATGCCTATATAATGTACAAAAAACCCTGTACATTGATATGTATTTAATCTTAAGTGAAGTGAATTTTTCACATTGTCTAGAACTAGTAGTGCAAATAAGGCCTAGTAAAGCCAAGATTAAGCAGAGAACAAACTTCAAAAGTAAAGAGATCTTTGAACGTGTTATATAGAACTAGCAGACAATTTTATATGCATTTGTTTTTTACTGTCTTTGAAGCAATTTTTTAAATTACATTTTAAACATATCTGCCATTGGTGTTTCCTCTGTATTTCTTTATCCATCACTTCAGTGCCATTATGTGAAAATATATTTGCCATTGTTTTTTATGGAGTTTTTAAATAAACGTTCTGATATGTGTTGTGATATTTTACCAGCTAATTATGAATATACTATTAACTAGAACTGGAGCCAGAAAAGGGTAGAGGGCCTTCTCCGGGTTGGGGAGGATGCACTACCCTAGTGTAGGAGATTAAGTATCTTGGGGTCTTGTTCACGAATGAGGGGAAGATGGAGCGGGAGATCGATAGGCGGATTGGTGCGGCGTCTGCTGTGAAGTGGGCGCTGCTCTGGTCTGTTGTGGTGATGTGAGAGCTGAGCCAAAAAGCAAAG